AATTAAAAATTATTAAATTAATCAAGTAAACACGTAATTATTGTGTTCCAGCTTGCCCTACTTTTCCAAATGTTACTGTTTACATCCATCTGTGAATTCGTAAACAGTTTTGAACTCCCCCACACAATTTTCCTAATAAATTGCCGAATTTACAAGCGTGCATTCATTGCTCCTTTACGAATCGAACGACTGCAATGAAGATTCTATTGCTCTTGGTATTCATTATTATCGGTAAGTATAAGATATACCCGAATTATTTTCAAAATTATGCATTGGCCAGTTAATTTTAGTTTTCTATTTTTCTTTTTAATAAAACATAATATATAAATTTAATGTTTAATTTATAATAAAACGAGAAATTCTTCGACAGGAAGTACTTTCGCTGGACATGTTGATGAACCAACTGGAGAAATAATAGAAAAAAAAAGCGACAATGATATATCAAAAATATATTTAGGAGGTATATTTGAGGATCTATTTGAATTTCTAGATAATCTTTTAAGTGGCTTAGACCAGGATTTGCGATCATTTTTTTACTATCTGTTTGTAAGTTTTGCTATTTTTATTATTGTAATACGTCCGTTGTTTATAAAGAATAACTCGTTTTCGCTAGAGATAAGCCTATAATTGTACGAAATACGTTTAAGATATTTATTTAATAATCAATAAATATTAATTAGTTCTCTTAATTGAAACAATATCTTGTTATTCTATATTAAATACAGTTTTAAATAATTTTAATTATTACACTATTCTTTATTTTTTTATTAGGAATTTCTCGGAGTGATCCAAGAAACGTATAGTAGACTTTTTCGATTATCCGGGACAATATTGTTAATAATCGGAATGACAAAAATACAGCAAATTCAGATGGTCATCTGAGTTAACAGTATACATTTATCTCTTCACGTTTCATTCAAAAATTTATCCGTTTTATTTACTGTATACGGTACTTAAACGGTACCGGATTAACCGGGACGATTTTCTTAAGCATTTTGGATAATCAGAGTCTACTGTACGCTCATAAATTTTATAATATTCTAGAATGCTGCATTTATTTTCTCTTTATCTCTCTAAATTTAGAAATTATTAATTTGGCAAATTGATTTATAACTATTTTAATATTTTAGAAAACTTTAATTTTTTTGGTGTAAGAACTCTCGATATAATTGTTTAAATATAGCTTTTATATCTTGATAATAACTAATAGATATGCTATTATTATCTTTCTATCGATAATAGAATATGTGTAAATACTCATAAGCTTTTAAGTAATTTTAAATAGAAAAATTTAAATGATAAATTTAAAACGATTTATTATTTAATCTTTTAGGGTATTCTGGATATAGAAGAATGTTTCGAATACCTTTCCGATAAAAGAACATTTGCCGTAAAAGGTGCATGTAGACCCAAATGTCGCCCTCCTTTTGTAATTTATAACTGCGATAATGTTAATAATAATATCCCGCCCGTTCGTCCTCGTCCTCCTTTTTTTCCTCCTATTCCTACTCGTAGTCCTAGTCCCTTTCCTAATCCTAATCCTAATCCTAATCCTACTGGATCTCCGCCAGTGACCGGAGATCCTTGCGAAAACTGCCAAAATATATATTATATTATAGCCAATTGCGAATACAGTGGTTATATTCAGACACTGGAATGCATTTTGGATGCGATTTTCGGTTATGAACTTATAGATTATGATTGCTTATCGTACAGATTTCAATGTCCAGAAGAATGCCTTTACAATTCTGGCTATTACGATAAATACGCAGACATATGTTACGATTTTGACGTGTTTTTGGATTATATTTATTATACTTATGAGGAATGTATCACATTCCTTAAATAAATCAAATATATATCAAATAATTAATTGTTAGAATCTAATAATAATAATAATAATAAAAATTGGAAATTCTGTTAAATGATTTAAAATGTCTAAAATTTAAAATTGAATTTAATTAAATAAAGAGAATTTTAAAAATAATATGTAGACTCTATTAATTTATTTGTATAATTTTAAACGACAGATATTTCTTTCCGACAGGTTTAATAAAACTTCGTCTAAATTCCCTTATTTATTAAATAATTCTAAATAAAAATTTAAACCTGTGTGACTTATCATACTTTACGAAATTTATTCATCACACGTTGAATAGATAAAACCACTAAACACAAATCGCGGGTTCGAACCTTACTAAAAGACTAGTTAACGTGGTGGGTTTTCTTTACCTATCTAAAGGGGGATGATCACCGTTATCTTATAAATAAAATAAAATTATTATTATACACAATGGTACACGGGTAAATGTATGTTTTAACCTTCTAATTCGGACCCCCCCAATATAGGTTCGAGTTACACTACTGATCTCTATAGAGAAATCGTTTGACCCTTTTCAAATGTAATTCCAGACGATACGGGAGACGGATCGTCAATGTTAATAAACGGGTGATAGGGTGGAAAAATTAGGTCATGTAAAATCCAATTGTCACATCCCCAGTCGTAGATCATGTGAGAAAGGGAGAGAGTGACGCTATTAGAAACCCAACCGAGTCTAAAGCGCTTTTCACGAATACTTTCTTGTAACATTTCGAGATTCGAATTGTAAGCATGTACTGTACTTGATTTATTAATCGTGATTTAAACTGTAAACACCTGTCAGTGTGAGTGTCCTAACCTATCTTGCCAGATCGCGAGAAAAGGGATGAAAGATCGTAACCCCTATCGTCATCCGGACAGATCACGAGAAACTCGAGTACTGATATTTTATTTTACTGCAAGATAGGGAAGTCTACACTGTACAGAGGCATGTATAGACTACACACCGACGGTAAAAGCCTTACTCGAGAATCTAGTAACCGGATTACAAATCCTGATTCATAATAACACAAGCATTAAGTAATTTTATTATAAGTAATTTATTTGTTACCATAGTGCTGATATCTTACATATTTCCAAATAAGAACATGACTTTATATCTAATTTTTGAAAAAAAAAGACACGAAGCCAAATTTAGAATTGTGACATTTTTTTAAATTTTTATTTTACTGAAAATATTAATTTCCCAGATGTTAATGTAAGGCAGAGCAGCTAAAGGTGTTAGCCTGTCACCTTTTAGGAACCAATTTTGAGTATGGATAAGGAATCTCAGTTATAATTTATGGGCGATGTGTCTAATGCCCTGTATTGTTTTTTACCAGGAACAAATCCACAGAAGATACAGTTTTTGAAACCTTCATTGTCCCTCAAAAAAGTCAAAAATTAAAATTTATTGCTTCGAACGTTCAAAACTACTTTTAAAAACTTTTACAATAGCAAATATAGATTACCTATCTATATGCAATACAATCCTCTTCCAGATTAGTAAAAGGGCATTATAATTAACCAAATATTTTTAATTTTTGAGTTAGAAATACAGGATTCAGAAGAACACTATAAAATTCGTAATGGGTTATAAAACCGACATTCTGGCAACTTTCAAGCAACTTTCTGCCCTTCAATTTCACGCGTATTAGTTATAAAAGTGTATAAAAGTATAATCCAGTATATACAGGGGTGATGCAAAAGTATATATACAGTTGAGAAACTGAGAAATACAAATGTTTGGTGTTCATTATTATTGTTATTGTTTTATTATCTTTTATGGGTTCGTATTAGAAAAATTTGACTGTAATCTCAATTGTCGTAAGTTTTACTTGGCGCATGTTTTTTTATAAATCAGATTTTTCTGTATAGTTAGACCTAATTCAATATAATAGTATTACGTAAGTATACGTATTTATTTCAAAACATAAAAAATTGTATTGCATTAATTAATTGATACGAGAAACGCCTCTCATTTGCCAATTACCATCATTAATGAAGACTTTTATCATTAATAAATCATTACCGCAGTGACACAAGCATTACTGACTCACCACCTGCAGCAGCAATTTATTACTTATATATAATTTAAACTTAAATATTTCTGAAACTATTACATTATGTAGAAACCCAATATAACATTTTCATTCATTTTTCGATTTTCTTTCAAATATCACTTAAATCATCCTCCTACGAACATTTTCCGAGGAGTCACAAAGCATTAATTCTACCTGCCAAGTGCACTCACACTTGTTATTCATGTCTCACGTGGTTCGGTAAATTATCCGGTGACGTACTTCGTTTCATTTAAAACGAAATTTGTCTACGTCATTAACTAGTTTACTTGTCACATCGTCATTTACAAGCAATTGACAACCTTATAAAACGTTTAGTTTTATGTAACGATTGTTAAAAGGTCATTACTCATCATTTAGAAAATAATTTATATTAGTGTACACCATTGTTACATATTTATATATTTATTAATTAACCGAATATATATAAAACTTATTTATTTTATTACGAAAATAAAATAGATCTTTCAGTTCTTTAAAAGTTTATACTGAATAATCGAAGCCAAAAACAAATATTTAAAATGTAGAAAGTTATATAGTATGATATAATCTTCATATATTAATGCTTTTTATGTCTGTATTTTATTTATTTATTTATACATTTAGTTTATCACAACCAAGAAAGGATTTTTTTGTACACCTGACTGTGTTTATTCAACAATTAAAACTTCAGCGTGCATTTCGACAACCAAACCAAACAAATTGTTTTTTTTTTCTCAAGTGGTTTTTTTGTTGACGAAGTCACACCGAAGTTTTACCTGTTGAAAAGTGTTAATTGTTAAATAAACTTGAGCCAGTTTATCAGCGACATGAAAGGCACAGGCAAAGGAGAAGGCGCCGAGATGATGGAGTGCCAAACAAACGAATTTCTTCTATAAATTTATAGAAAGTGTCACGAACGAGTATGAAAAATTATATTAAATAATATAATATGCATTATAAAAATAAAAAGCGGTTTTGTATGATTTTTAAAATTGTAAAAGACTATTGAAAAGCTTAATTTAAAAGTGCCACTTTTAAGTTTGCCTTAAGTAACAGATACTCTAATCACGGTCATGTAGTATATGATAAATCTATTGCTGCTTTTGCTTAAAACCAAATTTTTTATTAATTATATAAAATACAAAGAAAAAAGCATTTGTATATAAAGGTATATGCTAATATTGTATATATGAATATTTAAATTTTGTTAAAACAGATATTTAAACAGTAGACACAAACATTCAAAACAGTATGTATTATATGAACAAATATATATAATTATAAAGCAATTAAGGTAACCAACATTACGTGAAAATAAAATGTGGATTGAGAAGTCAGTTCTAAATCATATGAAAGTAAGTGTGCCATATGAATTAATATAATTAAATGCAACAGTAGTGAAAAGCAGAGATTAACATACGTTATTATAGTGTTGGTATTATTAAGTGCATCCTGCACTTAATATAGGCTATATTATGCCTTGTACTATGCCGGATTACATTATGGACTTTTAACGAAAATAATAACATCTAAGAGGTTTTGTTTAGGTGCTGTTTCTATGTTTCTGTTTATAGCATTTTCGTATGTGACGTGTTTAGTTCGGAAATGTTCTTTGATCTACTGCCGAAATATTAGGAACTTCACATAAGCACGTGCTTATGTGAAAGATTCGGAGCATTAATTCTACCTGCCAAGTGCACTCACACTTGTTATTGTAAACACTACAGAACTTAATACAACAAAACGTTCATATGATAAGTTACTACTGTATTTGATTTTGTGAGTAGCCAGAGAACAGGGTTCGATCTCCTCTGCCCACTTACTGGACACGGGTCAACTGAATCCGCTCTCGCTATCGTCAGGTGGCTTTGTAAATTAGATTAAGATCGTTAGAATCTCAATCTTCCTCAGGACTGACACCAGTTAAACTATTATTTTCAATCTCGGTTTAACTCACTATCTAGAAGGTAAGAATAAAGGAAGGCTAATAATTTTATGAGTGGACAGTATCGTGGATAAGTGATAGGAGTTCGATCTTTAAAGAAAGACTATCAATAAACAGATTAACAAGTAATAACTAAAAATTTATTGGAATGAATTTAAATATATATAAGAATACATTGACATTGTATCTAACATAATTATATATATAGCTATTCTATTCCTAACCGAAATCTATATATTCCCTAGCAGATGCAGAGTTTACGTAATATATTTTATTACCTCACTAATAACTTAACTTATAACAATTCTGCCGGGTGGACGGAAGTTCTAATCTCAGGAAGTATGGCACACAATTCAGATAGAAAAGGATACCAAACGATGTCCGCGGAGTTTGCGCATATCCCCCTTTTATATTTCAACTCTCCTCCAACAGAAATTTGAATATTTAGTCATCTCACAATGATCTAAGTTTTACTAATCATGTAGTCATCAGATGAATAACTACTTTTAAAGGAAGTAAACTTGTAGGAAAGAAAGTTGAATTTCCTTGCTTTCTCTTAAAAGTTAGAAAAATGTACACTTTTGTACAAAATATTATCTTGGTTTTGTATAAATTTTGTAGAATAAATGTAGAATTTCACAATATGAAGCTTGTGCAAGAGAAAACTACACGCACAATAAGTATTTCATCTATTCTCCGTGGATTTCTTATTTTTTGTTTATTATAGTATTATTATTGAGATAAGATTTGAAATAATTTTAGGCCTATAAATTTTGTATTTTTGTTCGTCTGCCGTTCGCCCGTCATTCTATAATGTCGAGAATCAAGTTAGATAGATAAAAGCTAAAAGCAGAAACCAGATATGGAAACGATAGGAGGAGTAGGACCCGATTAACTGCATACTAATTATCTAGTTTGCACCGAAAGTTACATTGTTTCAATTGAAATATTTTCTCTTAAGAGGTGAAAAGATTTCAATTTAAATAACGTAGATAGATCTTCGGCACGACCCTATTGTAAAAGGAAAAGTATGATGTATTGCATAAGGGTAAGCTAC